GGGGGCAGAGAGAGATCCTTTCGATCCTTGCACGGGAACGGACCAGGTTTGGATATTAACCGTGGAGATAAACGGCCCCCCGTGATTCTAATGAAATATCGACACCGGCGAAAGTTTGTTTAATCAGGGAATTCCGACGTCGTGATCACGAATTCCAAGTTGATCGAGGGGGTTATGGGAGTGGAGGAGGCAGGGGGCAGGGCTCGTGACGTTTTAATGCGTTCTTTCCTCCGCTCTCCTCCTCTTCCTCCTCCTCCTCCTCCCCAACTTGGTGTATTAAAGGTGTGTTGCGGGATATATATTCCGAAATTGGAAGGAGAGAGAGAGAGAGAGAGAGGGAGGTGTATTAAACCGAGGCGACAGGAAACGATTCGTCGAATTCTATTTTCTACACCCTCCCCCTCTCGTCCAACGGATTTCAAAATGTTCGCTGTATCGACTATCGGGCTAATATTAACGGCGGAAAATCGCCGTGCTCGCGACTTCAAACCGAGTTTAGCCACGTGGCGTTTTATCGAAACGGATACAGGTCGGAGGAGGACACTTTATTTTTCGCGGGTCAGGTATAAACCGCGCGCGCCACCGTCCCATCCCGTCCCGTTCCATCCCGAGAGAAATCGGCGGATTCATTATTTAACGGATATCTTATTTCGTTTAACACGATTGATAGAATCCGTCCATTCGATCCGATTGATTCAACGTTCCGTAAATACACGTGTTAACGCTTTCGCACATCGATTATTAATTTCATTTGGAGCCGATGATCGGCAGCGTATCCGGTTCCCGATTCCGGTCGAACATTGGCGGAACTTTCGTGTTTTCGACGTCTCCAGTGACGTCACTCGAGCGACCCTCGAAACCTCTTAAATTATAAACGCAACGCTGCTTCGCGGGAATTGGATCGAAACCTGATGGAAACTTAAGATTGGAGGCTGGTCCATTGGACGAGATCTCAAGTTTAAGATCTCGTGTGACCGGTCTCTCTGCAAGTTTCGCGTCAATCTTCGCGCGAACGCTAGTTCTAATTAATTTCTGATAAGGGATAATGGATCGACATGGATATATTCGATCCAATTTTTGATTAATTTTTTTCTATCTAATCCCGCGTAACTCCACGATTACGTCTCATATTACGATGAACGAAACGAAGAACGAAGTAAATCGAGTGTCCAAGATAATATCTATCCGTGAATCTATATCCGACAATGAAAACGCAGTCGAAGGGAGTAGAAGGGAGGGGTACAGTGTAATTACAAATAATTGAACAAAGAAAACAATTGAAGGTATTAGCAGAGTTGGAACATCAGCATTGGCGTTGAAGTTACGGTGGGTAGCAAGACTGGTCTCCTCCCTCTCTCCCTATGGGACAATGGACGAGGACAGGAAGTCGCGGTCGAGCTGGCGAATGGTCAGCAGAACTTGATAGTTTCTCAAAACTCGATCTTCGAATCGCCTCGAATCTCACGATCTCTCGAAAGGGGGCCTTCCTTTCTCCGCTATTAATGTATCGTCCAATATCGTTTACCGAACGAACGCATCATCCATCGTTCATCGGATACGTCGGAAAGTAATAACGAGAAATAACGATTACCTTTTTTTTGACATGCAAGCTGGCGATGATTCTATTTATGCAACCTTTCCAGCTTGCTTTTAGCCGGGAATCAAACGAACGGATTAAACAAAAAACTCGTCGAAAAATTAGACCACGCGGTGTATCGTTAAAAATATCCTTTCTCTCTCTCCCTCTCTCTCTCTCTTTCTCTCACTCCCTCTCTGTCCTTCCCCCTTTCACTCCCTTCCTCTCTTTCCTCGATACACTTATGTATATACGTGTCAGACCGACGATAAGCGAATCTCTGTTTACACGTAACCAACAGGCGAGCAGATGTACGTGTCGCACGTGTAATTCACAGGCCCGTGGTGGTACACACGTATTTACCTGGTGCGTCACGTGAACTTGATATTCACCGTTACTATCTACGCACACGAGCGCGTAAACGCGGTGTACGAATAAAAATATCCCCGGCTAATGTGTCCCAGGCGATTATTAAAATAATTTATTTCTACCGGTGGTGTGGGCGTTATCGATGAAAGAAAACTTATCGACCGATCTCGCGCACGAATGGGGTGAAACGTTGAGCTTGGGAAACGTCGAATATCCAACGTTTTTTCATGGAAAAATGGAATGGAAGGTTATGGGGATAAAAAAAAAAAATTTCAAAATATATTAATAACTCTGATCGATCTTTCCTGAAAACGAACGAGAAACCATTTTCGACTTTCTCATTTGTTTATGCATTTATATATATATATATATATATATATTGAAATTGATTTATTGTTTAAAAACTCGACAATGTTTGCCCGACGATAAAGAGGTACACGAGGCAGGGAAAAACCTGTGTGTCACGTATATATATATATGCATTCCAAAGGTGACTCTATACCTGGGCTGGAAGGTGCGTGCGACCATATTCGTCCCCCCTATTCGAAAAGGAAACCGTCGAAAAGGCCGCTTTAAGGGCCATAAAATATTTGTTTCCCTCGACGACGCTCGCGCCGCTACCCGGAACGGTATATTGCGTTCACCCGCGAACGCGGGATTTCGAATTGAATTTGAAATCAGGGGGCTCGATTTTATGGTGGCCGGGTGTCAAACGCGTCTCGAGTATCGCGTTCGAAAAACTTATACCGCGAGAAACAGAGGGAGAGAGAGAGAAAGGAAAAGGGAGAGAGGAAGAGAAGGAAGAAAAAGTTTCGCCTTAAAATCGAAACCCTCCTCGAAGAGGATCGTTATCGGTTTACTCGTTTACCCACCAGCCTGTGTATCGACGCGAGATGCGACGATTTGAAACGGTTCAATTTCATTTTCGATTCCCTACGAGACCCACAGGACTGAGATACGAGAGGGATAGATCGTAGCCTCTTATCGCTCCGAGATTCTTCTATTCCGAGAAATCAATGAGTCTAACCGGACGTCTTGGCGACCGTGTTCCTCTTTATCGTACGTAAGCAGATGTTTGCTTCTAAAATTAGTACTGTTTATGGAGTGAAGTCGTCGGTTATTAATAACTCTATCTCCGCGTTCCACGTAAATTCGATTTAGGAGGAGAGGGAGGGGAAAAAAAGAAAAAGGAAAAAAATAGCGATACTTGTCGTATCGATGAGTATCCTTTTTGAACGAGAATCGAAATCGTATCGTATTTTGAATGAAATTCCTGGAACCATTGTGGAAAGACGCTTAGAAAGAAGATTTCACGAATCTGTAGGAAGATCCACACGGTTATCTTATCGAAAGCAAATTTCCAGAGATTAATTCCTTACCTGGTCGTTGTCTTGTTGATCTTGGCCGTACGAGGGGGTGTCACCGTTAGGGGTGGTGGCGGCGGAGGGTCGCTGTGACGTTGACAAGTTGATCGCTCCGTCTCCGTCTGTGTCATGATCCATTATGCCATCGTCCTGAAATCACGATCATCGTTACGTCAATCGGTCTGCTTCCTTCCTTTGGTGCACTGAACTTGAACACCGTTGTTGAACTCCGATTCTCGTTACGTCATGCCGCGAAATTTCTCGACCGGCAAACGACGAATTCGCCGCCATCGTTCGCGAAAAAGATGTTTCTCACTCGCGAAACGCGTAAGTTTATAATAACGATCGTGTCGAAAGAAGAGAGAAAGAGAGAAAGAGAGAGGGAGATGAGAGAGAAATAGAGAGAGAGAAAGAGAGGAAAAGATCGTTGATTCTATGAAGATCTCGCGAAATGTGCTTTTGTTATACGATATTACCCTCGGCGGGCGAACAATTTTAGATCACGTATGACGCATGTGATTCCATACACTCGAGGCAAAGGCAACAATGTTTGGCTGGCGGCACACAAATACGCACGCACACACACACACACACACATATACACACACAAACGCACCGCTAATAATATATTCTATCGTTTGCAGTCTCGCGTGACGGCCAAGTAAAAATGTACAACGGTGTAATACCCCTGTTTTTTCGTGTAAACAGGATTATTCCGTTTGCAAAGATTTGCTTACTTTAAGAAAAGTCCTTGGTCCCCAATTTCAAGCGTCCAACGGCCAGCTTGGAATTCATGGAAGCGCGATACACACGAAGCGTCTCTTCGCGACAAGGACGTCTTTTCTCGATACGCCACGATGAGCAACACTTTTCGCGACACGAGAGAGAGAGAGAGAGAAAAAATAATAACGTCGCAGATAGAAGAGCATACGTTGAACACGAACACCATTCGCGGGGAGAGAGAGAGAGAGAGAGAGAGAGAGGGAGAGAG